AAAAGACAGAAGGCCCAGGGCTGCAGCGGGAAAGCCTCGGGTACTACCAAGGTGACCACAGGAGGAGACTGAGTGCTGGCCGGGGTTTAGGGGCAGAAGGACAGTGGGAACCAGGGAGGAGGTCCAGCTTTCCCAGCTCACAAGACAGCAGCCCCTCACAGACATACAAACGTATTAGGTGCACGGTGAGAGAGAAAGGGAAGAATCTGAGGGCAATCGCATCGTTTCTGGCTGAGCATCCTCAAGGATACAGTCGTTATTAACTAGAGCATTGTCTCAGTCCATTTTTCTCCTGCTGTAACAAAACACCTGAGACCACATAATTTTTTTTCTTTCAAATTTTTATTTTTTTAGAACGTGTTTGCGGGACACAATGGTTACATTTACAGTGGGAAGCCAGGGAATTCATAAAGCACAGAAACTTACTGCTGGCAAGTCCCAGACAGACGGACCCACCTGCAGCAGCCTTTGTGCCGTGTCATCCGTGGCAAAAGGTAGAAGGGCAAGGTGGCACTATGTGACACCAGCTGGAGCCAAGCCCGGGTGCAGCTCACCCCCACACCAACATGCGGGTCTCAGCAGGAAAGCATCCGTGCACTCCTGAGGCAGAGCCCCCTGACTCGCTACCCCTCAACAGTGAGCCAGTACTAAGTTTCCAACATATGTACCTTGGGACACCTGCAAACCCAGCAGGCAGTGACCTTCCCATGTCCCAAGCACTGAACACAAACCTTTACCTGCATTGTTTAGTTCATTTCCTCCAAACCTACAAGGTCAAATGAAGCCAGCTCAGATCCACGTGGGGTAGATGCCCCGAGGCCAGCCTGTCTGGTGTAAATATTCATCTCCTGTTCTTCTTCTAGGGCTGCGTGATCCAGGTGGCTGGTGTCACCGTTGTTTCAGGCATGAGTATAAAACATAGTATTCCACATCTTTTGTTTTGTTTTGTTTTGTTTTGGGGGTATTAAGTTTGGAACTCAGGGCCTTCCCACTGAGCTACCTGCCCAACCTTTTTATAAATTGATTTTTTATTTTGAGAAGTGTCTCATTAAGCTGCTAAGTAGCCCTGGCTGGGCTAGATAGACCTTGCGATCCCCCTGCCTCCGCCTCCGAGGACATAGTCTCCCACACTTTGAATCATTTTGTTGTTATCACTCCTACTTCTGATGAGACAGAGTGGGCTCAGCAGTGTCATTGTCCCTCAGGGTCACCCATGCCATTTTAAACAGGCAGGGACCGGAGACAGAGGCCTCTCATGTGCCTGCCACCTGGGCTGGGGGACATGACCTACTGAGATTTAGGGGCTGGGGTCCTGGGGGTCTTGCCCTCTCTCTCTGGTATCCACAGTATGATAGGGACACCCCAGTATGGTGGCCACAAGCGGTCTGACCTCTCTCCTGGAGGCTCAGGGCTCCCAAGCTACCTTGTCTGTCTCAAGAAAGACAGAGCAAGGTGAGAGATGGGTTGCCATTGTGACTCCATCTCAGAGGTCAAATGTGCCTCTTCCACCTCATTCTAACTGCTAGGATCAAGTCACTAAGCTCAGTCTGTGTACCAGGGAAAGGGAATTAGGTTTGACCTCCTGAAGTAAATACTGTGTCAAAGAATACGCTATAAAGGGGCTGGGGATTTAGCTCAGCAGCATAAGCACCTGCCTTGCAAGCAGGTGATCGTGAGTTTGATCCCCGGTACTGATAAAAAAAGGAAAAAGAAAAAAAAAATGTAAAAAAAAAGAATACGCTGTAAAACTTCTACATTTAAAAAAAAAATGACATAATTCCAGTGAAACAATTATATAGTGTCTCATATATATTAAGTACTTTTTAAAAATGGTTATTTATACTTTTAGATAAAAATTAAGTAACTTACAGCAGGGTGTGGTGGCACATACCTCGGAAGCTGCATAACACTCAAGAGGCTGAGGCAGCAGGATCACTGTGAGTTCAAGATCAGCCTGGGCAACTTGGTGAGTTCAAGGCCAGCCTAAACTACATAGACACTCTGGCTCATAAGAAAAGAAACAAACAGAAAAATTTAAACCAACCACCTGCCTTCTCCCAAGTCTTTAGATGTTCTATTGGAGTTTGGTCTGTTCTGGAGTCTTTGCAGGTGCCAGCCAGCTCTCGCAGGAACATCCAACTGAGAAGCACCTGGCTGGGTCTGGGAGCTGGGCCTCCAGGTTCTGCTCTGCACCTGGCAGGTCAGAGTTAATTCACTCCTGGCTTGTTAGTGAAAGCAATTGCTGAGCACAGGTCTCAGGCTTCTGGCCAAGCTCCCCTGCTCCCCTTGCAAGGAGCTCTGTCAGAAGAGGGAAAATAATTAGTCATTAAAACAAGTGCTTCAGGAACATGACAAACATCAAACCCCAATCTCGCAGCTGGGTGACATTCTGATGGTTAAAACAGCTCCACACCGCCTCCAGATGCTCACGATGCATCATCAATCTAGTTTCCCCAGTCAGAGCTAGTTTCCCCAGTCAGAGCTAGTGGCCCAGGGAACCCTCTGGCTACTCTGCTGGCTGCGGACTCCACATGCCAGGGGGTCCTGGGAATGTCTCATCCTGTGTCGTCTGTCTGGCAGAAGTGGCATCATACAATATTCCATGCTAACAATGTCACAGTCATGGGTCTGCCTCTCACTCAGCCACTAACACATCCATCCATCCATCCATCCACCAACACATTCATTGCCTCTCTCTACTCACTATCCATCCATACCTACCGACACCCATGTCCATCCATCTCTCCATCCCCAACCCTGATCTCCATCTACTCCCCCGTCTATTCATATGTATGCCAACTGACCCATGCACCCCTGCATCCACCCACCCACCCACCTCTGGCCTACCTACCCATCCTCCAGTCTCCATGTATTCACCCATTGTACTGGTTACTTTTGTCTCGCTACTAGGACAAAATGTCTGACACCCAAAATTAAGGAAGGAAAGGTTTATTTAGCTCGCAGTTTGTGGAGGTTTCAGTTTGTAATCAGCTGGCTCCAAGGCAAGGTGGTGTGGCTCAGGGGCAAACTTCAAGGGAGCAGAGGCAGCAAGAGCAAAAAAGGAGGGGAAGAACAAGCCCCTTTTCCTACTCATATCTTGTAAGCAGGCTACCCACCCCCCAGGGAGGGTGCAGCACTCATATCATCTATAAGCTCTCCTCTTGCACAGGATGAGGATGTTTACAAAGTGAGAACTCTGGCTCCCTGCTAAGTCCCTTAGTTAAACTTCTAAACTTTTCAAGTTGGCACAGTGTATCGACCATTATACCCATCCATCCATATATACACCAACCTACCCACCCACTCACCTATCTGCCCACCACCTACTCATCCATCCATGGCTCCATCTATTTACCAACCTGTCCATCTATATACCCACTTACTCACTCATCTGTCCACTCACCCACTCACCAGTGTTACCCACCCATCTTCTGTCAGCCTACCCATCCATTCTCCCAGGCAGACAATCAACATTTAATGAGCACCTACTGGCTATTCATTAATTTACCCAAAAAGCATTTATTAGTAACTGATAGCAAGTGTAGAGAACTTAATATTGACCTATTCATCAGTGAAGACCTAGATTTTATGTATGTCACTTAATAGTGATCAGGTAGCAACCATTGGGTTGTTCATTCATTCAGCAAGCATTTGAGTAATTATATAGTGGAGGGTGATAGATGAATGAATGGGCTGGTGGGTGGATGGTTAGATAAGTGGGTTGATGTATGAATGGATTTATTTATCCAGCCATCCAGAAAGTTGACTTACTGAACATTTAGTGGTGCTAGACCTTGTTCCTGCTGTGATTAGGACAGAGTCCATGCCCTAAAGGCCAGAGTGCAAAAGCAAGACATCATGCCCATCAACAGATATGAAGACACACAGATTGTAGGGGACTCTCCAGGTGTAGGATGCTTCAGAGGAGGCTTCCTGGGAGGGTAAACAGCTGAGTTGCAACTCACTTGTGGGCTCAAAATTCAAGTCACCTTAAATCTCGGCTCAGCTTTCTAGCCTGGGCATCTGGGTTGTAACTTTCCATCTAAATGTCCTTTTTCTCACCTGCAAAGCAGGAACAATAACAGAGCTAGTCAGAAAGAGTTGTGAAGAGGCAAAACACCTATAGTTAGTGATCCGTAACCTACTTACTGCAGGAGTGGTAGTTAGCCGGGTAGAGAGGAGGAGAGAGGGAAGCCCAGGAGCGAGACCTAGAGCAAGCCCGGATGCCAGGATTCTCCAGCACAGCTCTGACATACGGGGAGACTAAAAGTCACTTAGAGTTGCTGCAGGAGGAGATGTGAGAGGAAAAGATACACAAAGGGCTGGGGAAAGGTCAGCATCGTGAGGGACTAAAACTGTAGACTTGGGCCCAGTCCGGCTGGCAGAGAGACTCCAGCATTGCCAGTGTGTTCAGCTTTCCAGGTGGAAAAGGTCTTTCCTGAGGCCCCAGGTGCAAGGCATGCTGGGCAGCACCCTTCCCGTGGGCTGCTGGAGCCCACCCAAGGCTTCCTCAGGACCATGTTTGTCAACAGACTTGCTGTCCTCCTCAAAAAATACCTGTAGCTGCAGGGAGTCCAAGTGGACGGTTTCCTGTTGGGTGGGCTGGAGAATGGGGACCCAGCATCCAGCTATGAGAAACCCTCCCTGGCAGGGACCCTCACGCCTGAGGCCAAGAGTGGCCCAGACCGCAGGGCCATGCATCTGCCAGTTCCAGGACTCCAGTCGCCCTCCCCCACCTTCCCTGTCACACTTGGGGATGTCGCAGGAAACAATGTGCCTCTGCAAGCCTCCCGGCTGCGTTGGCGGCAGCCTGGCGTCAGGCATCACAATGACTCCCATTTCCTAGGAAACAGGGAGTTGCACTTGTACCTTTGCTGGGAGCCTCCACATTTGGAGCCATCATGTGACTCAGGGAGCTATTTTTAGCCTCCCCCAGCCCTGTGTTGTAGGAAGAATGATTTGATGAAAATACTAAACTCATTAAAAGCCTGGGGGATGGGGAGGGGAGGAGGGGAGGAGAGGCCGGAATGGGGAGGCTGCCGCCTCTGAGAGCCAGGCCAGGCTGAGCAGTGCTGCCCAGGTAATTCTGTGGGGACTTGGCACTTCCTGGGGTCTGTGCGTGGGGGGTGGGGCAATAGGCACCATAGTTCTTACAGCTGCTGTCACTGGCACTATGAGGTGGACTCTGTACCCACGTTACCTCCATCTATTACGTTCCATTGTGCAGTTGAGGAAACTGAGCCTTTTGGAGACCTCAGAAATCACTCAAGGTCATTAGCTAGGAAGCTGAGAAGCAGAGCTCACACCCAGGCCGCTGGCTGGGGAGCTTGCCCTCCCCTCCAGTGACCAGGACCCCGTCTATACAAACCTGGGACTATGAGAACCTTGGGGCACGGGCCTGCACAGTTATCTGGGCCCCTGTGCTTGATGTCCTGCTCTGCTCTCACCATCTTGACACCCTGGGTCACTTTTGAACCTAGAGCAGGGCCTGCCAGGCCTTCCACTTGCATGCTCAGCTGCCTCCTTTCCTTTCACTGTGGTCCCAGATAAGGTCCAGATTCTGAAAACACCTAGACGTGGGCTCCAGTCCCACCTTTGCCTCTTTTTAGCTGTCTACCTCCATGGCTCGGCCTTGTGCCTCTGCACCTTGGTCTCCTGGTTCATCAAATAAAGACGGGACTTGCTCCTAACTCATTTCATTTCTGCAAGGATGAAATGTGGGTTGTAGGGGCAAGCACTCAACACGGAGCCAGGCACAGAGTAGAAACTTTAACTTTAATACTAGTTACTGGGTGTTTGGGGGAGTGGGGGTATGTGTGTATTTTGCCTGAACCCAGGGCTTTCTCACTGAGCTATATGCCCAGTCCTTTTCTGAGATAAGATCTCTCTAAGTTGCTAAGTTGCCCAGACTGTGCTCCAACTCATGATCCTTCTGCCTCATTCTCCTAAGTGCTGGGGTTTAGGTGTGCCTCATCATGGCCAGGTTCCAGCTAGCTATTATCATCCACGAAGACAGTTAATATTTTGAGCTCCTCGACTGCTTGCACCACATGTTACTACTCATTCCTGCCTTCTCTCATACATGCTAGGTTTTCGCAGGGATGCCTCACGGGGACTTTCGAACCTGTTCCCCATAAAAGGCCCCACCCACTGGCCTCTGCACCCCCTTCTGCCATTGCTCACTGCCTGCAGTGCCTAGAGAGGCTCCTAGCTGTGACCTCAGAGCCAAGACTGCGGACTCCAAAGTCTAAGCCAACAGCATGTGTGATTCCCACAGTCCTCCAAGAACAAACGCAGGGGCACCAGCCTCTGGGTCAGTATGGGGAGACACTGCCTCCCCTGAGGACTGTACCACAGCTAACATCTCTCTCCAATAGCCCTGGGGTGTTGGAGCCAAGAGCATCTTCCACTTTACAGAGCAGAATGCCCAGGGAGACTTCCCAGGGATCATGGTCAGAAAGTGACACACCAGGATTAGGATCCAAGCCTAACTGCAAGCCCAAGATAACTAACTGCTGATTTCCCCTATGCTAGGCAGGCAAGAACGGGTGATGGTAGGCTTCTATCCGTAGCCACTTTCTCCAAAGACACTCACAGCCCAACTTGGGCCTGCAGGAAAGAGTAGGGTGGGCAAAAATAGGCCAGTGTCCTCATGCCAGCCTCCAGATACCTGGACAAAGACTCCTCTCTGCTTCCTTTGCCAGATGTGTTTATGTGCTGTGCTACAAACCAGCTCCCCCAGATGCCCACTGTCTCCAAGCTAGTCCCTGTCTGCTTCAGAGCCCAAGCTGCCCCTGGGGTGTGGGTCCATACCGTCTGGGACTGAGAATACCAAGCTAGAAAGAACAGGAGAAGAAATGTTTGCTCCATAGAGGGTCACAGGCAGTTGGCCTTTGAAACCAGCATTTGCCCTGGAAGAACATCAGAAGCAAGGCATGTTTGAAGCCCAAATTGAGCTTCCTGATACCCTGCTCCTGGATATCCAGAGTCTTCCAGGCAAGCACTGGCACCTCCTATCCATGGCCACCTTGTGTGTGCCAGGTCATGCAGGGCTGTGGCAGTAACACCTAGGAGCTGAGGTTAAGGACCAACCAGCATGCTCACATCACAGATGGGATGCTGCTCAGGGCATTCCACATTGTCTCCAGGATGACCGGGGAACTGAGCACTAATCACTAATATGTCCTATATCTAGCTAGTAGTTCTTAGGGTCACCTCCCAAGTAAACTACTGAGGGAAGGCAGCCTAACAACTAAGACTCGTCATTTGTACATTCACTGATCCCACGAGTCCCCCTTGTTCACCTGCCTTGTGTCCCCACAGTCAGTTCCCATGAGCCTCAGTTTCCATCTCTAGATAATGAGAATTGTCTTTCTGTCTGGTGTAATCCTACGTGGCAAGCTTTGGATAATACCTCCATATCGAGTGTCTGGAAGGCATCAGACATGAATAAAAAGACATGTCTACACTGTCTCTGGCACACGCCAGCCCTGTGCAAAGTCCTCCCTCAGTGCTCTCTGCAGACCTCCAAGGACCCTGTACAGTCACCGTATTTACCTTCTTTTACAGGGCGAATTCAAACTTGGGGACGGGGTTAAGCGGTTTTTCCTCGTGACAACAGTCAGTGAGTGGCAAAGCCCAGACCCCAAGCAAGGTCCCTGAGGATCCTGACCTATCCTTCAAGCTACACAATTGTTCCATTCTGCCCCACCCACCAGTCAGTGCACATCAGAGAAGGAACTGGGTCTTCTCGCCCGTCAAACAGCTATTGTCATTCTGTCCAAAGGCTATTCATAGCCTCAGCTGTAAGCGGAGGAGCTCACAGAAAAAGTTGCCCTTGTCAGGAGTCTATTCTCTGTTCCTTCCCTTCCTCACCCTGTGACCTCTGGTAAAACAGTGCACCTCTCAGAACTTTCCACTCTTCACCTGTACAATAAGGTTGTCGTGACAGCTGGCTGTTGGTACTGACTCTGAAACGATGCCCTGTGACTTTCAGAATCAGGTCTGAGGAATGAAGGCTCTAGAGGCAAGCGAGTCTATCACTGCCCACTAGGCAACCACAGGTAAGCCAGATCTGAAACTCAGTTTTCCCTCTTGTGAAATGGGTAACAATTGCATCAGCAGCATAGATATTAAATCTGGAAGACATGTGTAAAGGCCTTCCTTGTGAAACCAGAATTCTCTGTCCATAGGACAATAAAGATTGAGACGTGTGTTTTCCAAAAAAAAACAGCCACAATGCCATCTCCACTGTGTATATACCTCTCTCATTATGATTCAGTTGTTCCTCCCACTGCGAGGCAAGGCACAGTCTGTTCCCTTCCAGCATCTAAACAGGATTGCAACTTTGATAGAAATAACATGTTGTGACTTCCAAATCAGGGTCATGAAACCCAATGCAGCCTGATTCTCTTCAGTTCTTTGGGATGCCCACTTCCTGCTACCATGTTGTCAGGAAGCCCAGGCAGCCTCATGAACATAGAAAAGACACAAGATCTCCAGCCGAAGGCCAGCATCTCTCTCCTAGACACTTGAAGCAGCCACCCAGAAAGCGTGTACTCTAGTCCTAGCCAGGCTGCCTCAGCCTTTGTCATGTGGAGCCAAGCAAAATTCTCCTCATCGTGCTTTGTACCAATCCTTTTATATGATGGTTGTTGAAGGTACTAAGCTTGGGGGTGGTCTGCTTGCAACAGCAGCTGACTGATTCAGAGAGGCTAAGGAAATCCCCAAGGCCATGCAGCAGCTGTGAGACACAGGAGGAAGCCCATTCACCAGTCCACAACTGAACAAACTCACACTAGGAAAGAGTCTCCCTCACAGCCCTTGGAAGAAAGCAACCCCACAGACAACCTAATGTCTGGCTTCCAGCCTCCAGGACTTATTTTGTGGTCATTTGTTCTGGTGGCAGCCCAGGGGGAATCACACAGCTAGCAGAGGAGATGCCTGACTTTCTAATGACTAGTGCTCTGACCTGCACCCCAAAGCATTCTGGGAAGGCTTGCTGGAGCACGCCACTTCTAAAGACTGAGGGAAGCTCAAGAATGAATGCAGAGATGTCAGAGGGAAGAAGTTCTCCATTTAGGTGGCAGCTCGGAGCCTAGAAGCCTCACTCCAAGGTCTGGAGCTACTCTTGTGGCTGGCATTTCTTCCGTGGCCAGGACAAGGGGAGGGGAGGAGCGGGGCCTTTGTGAATCCAGCTATACACCATTTGGATGTCATCCTGAGGGCAGTGGGGAGCCATCTGCCTTTCTCTTCAGAGTCTTGTCACCACAGCAGGAGTGCTCTAAGAGCATTTCACACCAAGCCTGGCCCTCCTCCTCCTCTTCTTCTTAGAGCCTAGCAAGGAGGGAAATGGTGGGTTTGTGCCCAGCAGGAGTAGAACGGTCTTTGCAAAGCCCCCCTGGGTCTGGGAATTAACGGTTGCTGCTGCTGACTGTCACCCTGCTGCCCCTTAGAAAGTGTCATCATTGCCAAGTGTGTTTCCAAATAAAGAAAGGCTTTATAGAGCTGCCTGGGGCTGGGTGGGCAGCTGGAGGGTGGTGGGCTCAGAAGGTCCCTCAGGAAATCTCCTTGCTCAGGGTGGCCCCAGCTAGGCCCTCAGCCCATCTCAGGAGGCCAGGGTGCCCACCTGCTGTCTTCACTGTTCCTGGGAAGGGTTCGTGGATTCGGACACATTCCGCTCACCTCCTATGGAGCCTGGGGCTGGCAGAGTCCTCATGGGGATCGCTGTAGTCTGGAGCAAAGCTTGACATGCCTTTCCTGCCACTGCCTCCTCCCTCAGAAGACATGCTTCCTGTCAAGTCTTTTCTGCATTCCTTCTAGGTCAAAATGCCTCAGCAGCAGCAGTTTCTGAAGCCACTCTGGGGCCTTTCCAGCCTGGGCGACCCCAGCCTCTAAAACATCTCCCCAATACACTCAGCAGAGGCCAACAACCTTCATGTCTGAAGACGGAACAGATGCAGGATGCCCGGAGTGATAAAGGTGAGGAGCCCCCACTGTCAATCCCAAAGGCCCTGCCAGTCTTTCCCAGATACACAAATTGTCTTCAAACCCTGTGATTCACCTGTAACCACAGCAGTTGGGAGGCTGAGACAGGAGGATTGCTGCAAATTTGAGGCTGGCCTAGGCTATATAGTGAGTTTAGGACTAGCCTGAACTACATAGCAAGACCCTGTCTCAAACAAAATAAAAGACCCTATGATTCAGCCAAGGTGTGGTGGTATATAGTTGTCATTGCAGCACTCTGAGACAACAGATTGAAAATATGAGTCCAGTCTGGGAAACAAAGGAAGAGCCCATCTCAAAAATAAAATAATATGGGGCTGGGGGTTTAGCTCAGCGGCATAAGCACCAGCCTTGCAAGCAAGCAGTCATGAGTTTGATCCCCGGTACCGATAAAAAAAATAATAATAAAATAATACAAAAGGCTGGCCTATAGCTCTACACGGAGGCCCTGGGTTCACTCCCCAGTGCCAAGAGAGAGAGACACAGACAGACAGACAAACAGACAGACAGAGAAACAAGAAAAAGGTAGAAGATACCATGGGAAGAGCCCAGAGGTCAGCCTGAGGTCACTCTGACTGGACCCAGCCCGTGGCCCGGTGGGATGGTTACCCACAGGGGCCTGTTCAGGGGTTAGACACAATGTGCAGCTGAAATATGCACAGTGGGAACTTGAAAGAAAGGCAGAAAAAAAAGGTTGGGCTGAGACAGTTGCTCCTGTGTTTGTTTTGTCCTTGCTGCTGAGAAAGGAGAGTTGTTTGTAGTGTGTTCATAGTGTACCCCAGGGTGGAGCTAGGCCCTTTGGGGTTTCCGCAGTGCAACCCTGAAGCCGGCCTCTCTTGGGCCTGCCGGAAAACCTGGAGGAGGCTCAGTCCCCAGAGGCGGGAGACAGATTCCGGAGGAAGAGGATAGAGCCTGAGGATGCACAGAGCACCACAGGTAGATAGCCAGGCCCGGGGGCAGGGGAAGCAACCCTAGAGTGGAGGTGCCAGGCATCACTAGGTTAGAACAGCAGCCCTGGGAAACTTCGAGGGACAACAGGATCTCCTGGGGCCACCATTGCAAACCTGGCCGTGGTCGAAAAGGAGAGTGGAAAGGAAGGACACAGAGAAACAAACAGACAAAAAAAGGGACATCCAGGCTAAAGTGGGGGAGGATGAGATGCTCTCCAGGGAAGAAGACCAAGAATGGATGAGATGGAGAAAGCACTCAGAAAAGGAGAGGAAGGGGGTGGGGGAGGGGATGACAGGACAGGGAGGGCCAGTGAAAAGGAGGGAGAAAGAGGAGGGCCAAGAAGAGGAAAGAGGGAAAGAATGGAAAGAGAGGAGGGAAGCCGGCACCTGGGAGGAGAAAAAGTTGATTAAGGGTGTCACAGGTCCATGACAGCGGGGCCCAGGCTCACAGGCCAAGGCTGCACTGAGCTCGCTCAGATGCTACCCACAGCTGTCCTGGAGCCCAGCCAGGGAGCTGGCCGCCCTGAGCCTGTCTCCCACACCAGGAATGGTTTCCACGGGTGCAGGTGGAACCTAGAGCCTGGCTCACTTTGTTCCTGGAGGCGTGCGTGCTGGCCTGGAACCGTACCTCCTCCACAGGGCTCAGCCTGCCATCCACTTGGCCATAGACCTCGGACCAGGCCAGAGGCACTTGCTCCATGGCACACGAGGAGAGGAAAAGTAGCCCTGTTGGCCCAGCCGTCAGCCAGGACAAGCACTGCCAAGGGAAAGGAGAGCTGGAAAGGTCACCGTTATCCCAGGGGGGTAATGGCTCCTTAGCATTTAGAAATTCAGTTCCAAAAAAGAAGGAAGAATTGCGACACATAACATAAAGAGTGTCTGGAGAGGGGAGAAGCGAATTCGATAGGGAGGCACTCGGACAGGGACGCTGGCAGGGCCAGGCCTCTCTCTGCCCAGGAAAAGACAGAGGGTAGGGGTGCAGGGACAAGATGTGCCCATGGCTTTCAGTACCCAGCACAGTGTTGGGCATTTAGGAAGCCCTCAGCAACTATAATAGGTCCAGGAGTTTTAGAACCAGGTTGAGAGAACAGGTGTAGAAAGAAGCCCTCTGGCCCTGGCTACCAACTGCCTGCCAGGAACAGGCAGGCACCAAGTCAAAGCCACAGTGAGTATCGACGGCTGCCCTGTGCCATCTCCACCCACTCTCCATCTCATCCTTGCCCAGATGCTAACAGATGGGGTCCTCAGTCTCAGTGCATTCTACGGACAATGAGCCCAGCATGGTGGTGCCCACTTGTGATCCAGCACTCAGGGAGACAAAGCAGGAGGATCACAAGTTGGGATCTAGTGCAAGCAACGTGGTTTGGCAAGAAGTAGTCTCAGAACAAAATAGTGTTTTGTTTTTTTGTTTTTGTTTTTTTTTTTTTGTCTTTTTGTTTTTATCGGTACCAGGGATCGAACTCACGACTGCCTGCTTGCAAGGCAGGCACTTATTCCGCTGAGCTAAATCCCCAACCCCTGAACAAAATGTTTTAAAAAGGGTTTGTAGCTCAGTTTGAAGGCCTGGGTTAAATCTGAGAACTGCCAAAAACAAAGAGGAGGGAGCTAAGGTACAAAAACCCTATTTAGCAGTCCCCATGAGGTCACAGGTTCCTCAGTAGCTGAGCCTAGGTGCTGCAGAGGTCCAAAGAGCTGCCTTCCACCAGGTGCAGGCCCCATCATGGCAGCAAGCCACCCCATCGCTCTGAGATGCCCAGTTCTGTTGTCCGGCTGGCAAACCCTGGCTCTCTCTCAGAGCAGAATTCCAGTAAGGGCTGGCCCACATGAGACCCCAGATGAGGAGCCGCAGGCCCTGGACACCACAATTAGGGGCACAGAGCACCCATCTCCCAGCTGTCCCTGCCAGCCCTCTGCTTCCAGATGGGAGCACATCAGGACACTAGTACTCAGGCCAGAAGGGTCCCCGGCCTGGCTTGGAAAGTAGAGGAAACCCTGAGGTCAGAGAAGAGAGGACCTTGCAGGCCAGTAAGAAAATGATGTTTCTTAACCAAGCCATGATGTAAGGCATGTGTGTGTTTGTGTGTGTGTGTGTGTGTGTGTGTGTGTGTTGCACGTACATGTGTGTAGTGTCTGCAGCATGTGGTTTGGGTATCTACATATAGCGTGTGAGTGCAGGGTGTGGTGTGTATGTAGGGGAGGTGACAGTCACTGTGGAAAACCAGTGCAGGAGCAAGGTCTGAGTGAAGGAAGGAGCAGCAGGTGGCGGAGAGTAGGGCAGGGGAGGAGAGGACAAGATGGGGGAGGAGGAAGTGGCAGGGGCAGGGAAGGGAAAGGAGGTGGCCAGGGACCCCAGAAGCCCGTACTTCTCCAGGTCACAGAGGTTCTCATGGAGTGGAGCATTCGTAGGGTGGGGAAGCCTGCTCAGCTGCCCTGAGCTGTGTTCGCTCTCACCCTCATCGCCCGCAGCTTCCGTCCTGATGACCAGAAGCGGACTGAATCCACAGCGGGTGAGCTGGTGACCAGGGAGAGTAGTTTCAATTGGATCTCGAGTTTCTCTCAGGGATTTGCCATTGCCCCATCTGGTTCTGCCTTGGCCTGACTCAGAGAGGCGCCTCCCTGGTTGATGGTCACTGGCTGGCTATGATTGGGACTGATCAGCCCACTCATAGTGGGACCCTGCCGATATGGAGAAAAACCCTCCAGCCCCACTTGCTTGTGAACTCCACACCTCTATGCAGTGCACACTCCTCAGCTTCACTATGGATAAAATCTCTGTCACGGGGTGCATGACGGGAGCAGGAATTTGGACACAGCTCAAACTGTGATTCAATCCACTACCCTCTTTTCTTGGGCTTACACTAGGGTCCAGCGGATGACCTTTCAATTCAGAGGCCAAAACTCCAGCTCAGAACAGCCAGGGCTGCCATTTTCTCGACACGCAGCCTAGAAGAGTCTTAGAATCTGACTGCGCATGCTCAGACCACCCATTACGTCACGCTTTACTTCCAATCATCCTTGTTTCTTTATCGCATAAAAACTTCCAAGCTGGGGCTGGGGTTTTAGCTCAGCAGCATAAGCACCTGCCTTGTATACAGGCGGTCACGAGTTCAATCCCTGGTACCGATTAAAGAAAAAAATCACAAAAAAAACCCTCCAAACCCTTTCATCAGGGAGGCCAATTTGAGGCCCACACTCTTGTCTCCATATGCTTGCTCACCCCATAGTTTCTCTTTTGTCAAACTTGTCATTTTACCAATTGGCATAACACACTATGAGAAAAGAACTGGCCTGCTTTGGTAACACTGTGACCAACTATGACTGCCCATGCTGACTGCAGCCAAACTGATGAACTGAGTCTGCTTGGCATGACAACAAATTGACCAAAGACCAACTCAGGGCCACACGGTTGATGCACTGGCTAGTTGGTGATAACTGTGTTGCTGGCTGCCTAATTCAAGCTGACTATAACTAAATAACTTACCGTGAATAGCTACTGTGACTGTCTGAATTCTGTGACTGACTGTCTGAAACAGGCTGTGTGGGCAACAGATTATGACCTGATAACTCCAAGTGATGATCTTGATGGTTACTCAGTGGCTCTGACTGATTCTCTAGCTAAGGGACAGGTGATCTCTTTTAGACTGTGACAGAGTGCCTCGATCAGATCCCTCTCAGAGACTGACTGATTGCCTGGTGTTTCTTTTTTTTTTATCGATACCAGGGGTTGAACTCATGACCATGCGCTTGCAAGGCAGGCACTTATGCCACTGAGCTAAATCCCCAGCCCAACGTGGTGTTTCTTTATGGTTGTGACTGACCAGGCCACAGAACGTGGCTGCTTGTGACTAACTGTGATTTACTCTTAAATTGACACAAACTGACTATATCCAAAGGACAGGATCAACTGGGTAGACTGATAACATACCTTGAATATTAAAAAGTGACTGCAAGATGGACTGGGTGGCTGGAACATCACAGGGTGTCCTGTGGCATGAATCGTTGTGACAGTGTATGATGGTTAATCTTGACTATCAATTTGATTGGTTTGAGAGGAGCCTAGGAGATTGGTGGGTGTGGCTGGGTGGCTCACAGGGGCATGACGTTGGGGTCTGTGTTTGATCTGTAGTGCATTATGCTCTGGTCATCCTCTTCCTTCATTCTCAGCCACCGTGAGTTGTGGAGCCATACCCTTATGCCATGTCTCCACCTTGACACCAGATGCCTGTGGACTGAAACCTCTGAAATTGTAAGCCAAAATAAAACTATTCTCCTATAGGTAGCACATGGCAAGTAATTTGTCCCAGTGACAGGAAGCTAATGCATAGTAGAACTGAGTCGCTGTGAAACAGTATTCTAGGGACCAACTGACTTGAATGTGTTGACTGGCTGACTGAGCCTGACTGGTTGTCTGGTTGACTGGCCGCCTGTTGCAAATGGCTGACTAGTCCTGCCTTGACTAACTAAGTGACTGACGGGTTGACATTGACCAGATGGCAAGAGACATACTGACCATGACTGTGACTTCAGTGTGAGTGGCCATGTCTGACTGTGTAATAGAATCTGACAGTGAGGCAGTGACTAATTGATTAACTTACTGGCTGACTGAGATTGCCTGGGCCTCTGACTGACCAGCCATGACTGTGATTCTTGATAAAAGTGTCCATACATAGGTGACTCTAACTAGTGTAGCAAAGTCTGCCTTACTGTAAGACAACCAACTCTCTGGCTGGCAGGGTGTGTTGACCAGCTGACTGGTTGCAGTTGACCAGGCAACTGGCTGACGGTGACTGTGACTCATGGTGCAAGTGGCCATGCCTTGCTGTGTGGCCCTGTCTGTGTGTTGGAGTCTGACTGTGAGAAAATGGCAGACTGACTGACTTTCCTGGCTGGCTGCCCCTAGGTCAGCCTGTAAACACAGTCCCTACCCTTCCCGGAACCATTGGAGTGTGCTTGCTCATGGGAGCAGGCCCCGCCTGAGGGGACAGAGAAGCTTCTGTGGAGCAGCGGGGGCAGGAAGGGGAGAACAGGAATAGGCCCTGCCCAGGGCTGGGCCCAGATGGAAAGTTCTCCTCCTCGCCCTCGCAGGGGCTGGGTCATTGGCACACATTCTGGGTTGTGATTTTGGCTCCAGTCTTATAGGGCCTTTGTTTGGGGGCAAAATGGGGAGGGGAACAGGGGGAGCCTATAAAAATATAGAGCCAATAACTCACTGACATTGCTCCAATTATAGAGGCTTCGGGTGGAGGAAGTGGGGGGAAGCAGTGGGGGTGCGGTAGGCCTGCTGCCTGCTGGTTATGGGGCTTGGACTGGGGCCAAACGCTGCCCTAGAAAATCCAGGCCTTGTGCTGCACGGCTGGGGAACCCTTAGGACGGAGCCAAGTGTCTGCCAGTCACACCCTGGTCCTTCTGCCATTTTATAGCAGAGGAAACCGAGGCCCACAGCCCTCCGTGGCCCAGGGCATTTCCCAAAACCCAGCCTTCCGGGTCACTCTGCCAGAGCCCTGAAACATGTAAACTCCAGCCGCTCTTTTCTACCCCAGAGGCGCTGGCAGCAGGCTTTCAAGGGCAGAGTCTGTCACCTTGAGCTGGTCTGAGCCTCAATTTCCTCATCCCTTAAGTTATTTACATTTCTAAGAGGAAACCATGAGCAGAACTCACACTGGGTGTCCAGGTGCCTCCGTCTCTTTGAATGTGCAGTCCCTGGCAAGGGCTTGGCTTTCATGCCTCAATTTCCTCACCCCAAATCCGGAATGAGATCTGTAATGGCACTGATTTCACAAGCTTCTTGTGAGGAGAAGAAAACAGCACAGATAGTCTTCAGCTTAGTACTTGGCACCATAAACAACCAAGAAATGTGAACTTCCATTAACTTAAGAATACTCATTTCTCAGTAGATGTGTTAGGATTCATCAAGAGCTTCAATGTCAGTGTGATGGGGTCACCACGACACTCAGTTCCACAGTCTGGTAATGGGACCATCAGCGAACCCAGCTGAGCCTTCCCGGGTCAGCCTGAACTGCCACCTGCTCCCCGAAGGAGAGGGCCAAACACTACCTCAGAGTCTCTGGGGGGGAGCAGCTGCTCCCTACAACCCAGCTGCTGGGGCATGGGCCTCAGGGAGAGGGAGGTGAAAAGGAGGAAACTCTCCAGGGCCCCCTAGGAAGATCTGGGTCCCATGGTCCTGTGGAGGCCTCTTCCAGGAAAACTGGGTGTCTCGAGTCCCACTGAGGCAGGAGGGAAAGCTGAGCTCTCACCTGGAGCTGAGCAGGGCCAGGGCAGCTCTGGAGGCAGAGCTGAGCCAGCTTGAGGGTCTCTGGGGATCAGAAGAGCCCTCCCACCACACTACTCAGAGGGCCACTGGGGAGCTGGGCTCATGGGATCACCTCAGTTGCTTACAGCAGCCTACAAATGACAACACACCAGGGAAGGACGCTTCCTCAAGGTCACTCCTGAGAAGCAGCAAAGCCGCTTCCTCACCACGTGGTCCTCATTCCTTCTTTCCTAACACCAGCAGGTTGCACTAACCCTTTTCTGGGCTCAGGGCTGGCACTATGGGGAAGAGGCCAGTCTCTCTCTGCCCCGAGGCCATGTCCTCTCCTAGACTGTAGTCAGCAGAGGCTGAGGTACAGAGGCAGGACTGGGCTTACCTCTGTTCCAGTTCCAACTCAGGACTGACTGGACCAGCAGCCTTGGGCTAAGGACTGTCTCCTCTGACCCAAGTTCTTCCTGCTGTGCAACGGGGAGAGTTTGGACACCAGTCGCACAGGGTAACGGGTGTGCAGGGGGCAAGCAGGAAGCGGTGTGAGCCCGAGCGTAGGGTGGTGCGGAAGGGAGCCTGGCCCAGAGCATGTGGACCCCACTGAGGGCCAGTTTGAGCCAGACAGGGGGCTCTCGGGGCTGGAAAGGCTGGAGCTGGAATCCAAGAGGATGAGGCCAGAAAGGACACCGCGGGCTGGGACAGAGTCAAGGCAGTCTGTTCCAGCTCCCAGGCCCGCATAGACGTCCCCTCAGTCCAGGTAGGGTCCTCGGACAATCACAGCCCGTTCTCCTGCCTCTGTTCTGAAGGTTTTGGAGAGAAATCAGTTCTTTGTCCTGTCCAGCTTCTTTTCCAGCCTCTGGACCCAGCGCGCTGGCCTCGGTTCCTGCCATTTCAACCCCTTGGCTCCTTCGTCATTCTGCCCTCTGTCTCGCTGATCGCCTGTCTCCCTCTCATAAGGGCCCTTGTGATGACATTGCTCCCTGAATAATCTTCTCATCTCAAGGTCCTTAGCAAAACTTCAAAGCTCGTCCTGCCTCGAGGGAGGCTGTTTTCTCCCCGCGAGACTCTGGCTGCGGGGACCCACATGGCTCATTTACCGCCGCTCCAGGAGCAGCCCTCGCCTGCATCCCATTCCACTGGCCTCTGATTCTGCTCTATTTTCCTCTGATCCTCTCATTTTAACTGCTGTATTAGAGATGCATGTGTTTGTTTTCTGTTTCACCCAGCTGTGTTGTAAACTACCCAAGGACTGGGATTGGTCTGACTTGGTCATTAATGGATAATCAGACCTAAAAGTGTGTAGTACGGGGAGCACCCAGGACACAGATCCCAGGCCCTGCCCTCCCCGATTCCCCAGGACACAGCCCCCTGGTAACCCTCTCCTAGAAAATGGCCCTCTGGAGGCAAGCTCCCTCCCCAGGAAGGACTCTATTTCGTCTTACTCAGCCCGCCAAGTGCCCCCAAGACACTGTCCCTGAGAGGCTTTGGGGCACCCTTGGACTTCCCTAGAGAGGGCCATGCCACAGGACTGGACCAGTCCAGGGCCGGTGGGGTCAACAGTGGCCTCCATGGAGATATTTGTCCAGGTCCTGCCCTCCAGATATAATGACTGTGACCCAATTTGGAAAAAGCATCTTTGCATCATTAAATTAGGGCTCTTGTCTGGGATCACAGTGTGAGTCTTAAACCCAATGACAAGCGTCCTTTTATTTTTGACTTTTTTATTATATATTTGTGATTCATGATGAATACGTTCCTCGTGGTACATGGTCAGATCGCCTCCTCCCGGCTGCTCCAGGTCCAGATCCCCTTCCCATCCTTGCAGCATCTACTGTCCTGTTCCCTGTCACCCTCTTATTTTGGTCTTTAAGTTGCCTCTCTTTCGGGTTTCTTATGAAGAGAAGCCATGTCCTTTTGGAAGGCAGAAGGGAAGACGCCTAAAGAGCAGCAGGCCGCGGGAAGGTCCTGCCGCCCGCCCCACTCAGAGCTGAGAGCAGGGAGAGCAGTCCTCTGAGCCTTCAGAGGGAGCAGGGCCCTGCTGACGCCTTGACCAGCCTTCTGGCTGCCAGGACCATGAGGAAGACATTTCAGTCATCGTCAGTCATCTGGGTGCAGTTAACTTGTTATGACAGCCAGAAAATTCTGTAGCACGGCAGGGAAGAGCAAACTGACCTCCTGCTGCAGCCCCAAAGAGCATGCCTCTCAGAGTCACAGTGCTCTGCTGGACAGGACTCTGGCCCAGGAACTGGACTCCCTGCTCTGCTTCCAAGCCACCACCAGCCCTACCTGCACCCCTGCCACCTCTTGAGCAGACCCAGCGTTTTCCTCCTGAAATGTGTTTGCAGAGAGAACCTGGACCACTTGCCATTCATTTGTTCCACCCTGTACTCAATTATTCAGTCAACAAACCACTTCTGAAGGTCCTACCATGTGTTTACTTAGGGAATAAAGAGGAGCAAAATCCTTGTCCTCTTAGGGTAGCATTCTGTACAGAAGGGGCGGAGAGGGAGGAGAATATCCCATATGCATACAAAGCTGTTAACAATGTATACAGCATTCCTTAGAAAGTCCCCTAAAGTTTTTGTGACTCCCTGGGGGCACTGCGACATGAGAGAGAGAGCTAATGATGGGAATGGCATGGGGTAGGGTTAGGACTGTCACTATGTGCCCGGGGAGCCCCTCTCCCCTTCACCAAACTGTTGCGTGGAGCTTGGTTCTGCTAAGAAACAGCAGAACAGGGCCAGCCTGTGGGCCAGACAGCAGCTGTGGCTCCCACAAGCTGAGCCCTGTGGGCCAGGGTGGCCAGAAGGGCAGACAGGACTAACGTTCTAGGAAGGAAGGCACCGCTGGCCAGAGTCTGGAACAGGGATCAGGTCCAGAGTCCACGCCAACCCTAGCCTTTATGGGGACAGAAAGCAAGGTCATCTGACCTGTGGACTCTGTGGGCAAGAAGGGTTTGAGGTTGGACCTCGCCTGGGGAGGACAGGAGACAGGCTTGTAACGAATACCTGCCATTCCCTGTGGATCCACCGTTTGCCAGGCCCGGAGGACCTGTTTTATACAGCTG